TGATACGCATATGCTGTTAAATGTGCTGCAGCTGAGCAGCTAATTAGCTATGTAGCCTTTCATGACACCAAAACATTATAAAATATAAATGTCTTTGCTTTGAACACGGGAAAAAGGGGGTTTACAGAGCAGATATGTGTGCTGAAGCAGACAAAAAGACATTTCATTTCAGTTGGACTTTAAAGTCTTACTTTCCACGTCTGTTCAGCGAGATCAGGGTAAACTTGCTAAACACACATTTTCAAGGCCAGAGGAGTCCGGTCAGCCACAGTGGGGGTTTAAAAAAACACAACAACTACAAACAGACTGGATTAGTATTTCAAGTTTGCAGCGTTATAAACGTAGTAGAGCTGGACATAAGACTCATAATTGCAGTGTGTTGTTTTTAAATGTAGGCAGTGGGCTGAAAAAGAAGTGTCTGTATGTCGGAAAGTAAAGCCTCGGTATTGTTTTTACAGTCTTGACTAAAACAACTCTGCCAGTCGGTGACTTGGCTGCATCAGCAAACAGGTAAAAGCAGCTGTCTCAGAACCCAGTGAGCCGTGTAGGAACACCACGGAGAGAGATAACAAACCTCCACAACAAAACACACACCACATGACGCACCTCTAGTCTCATCACGGCTCATTACTTCAACAAAATTTATTGAAGGTTGTCACCACGTTATGTCGCCCATCATTACAGCAACTCCTCTGTCACTATGTTATCTGACAACAATTTCTACTTCCCAGACCAGCCTTGCGATTTCCAACTGACTCTGCTTAGTCATATTTTTGTTTTGCATTATAACCCCGCTGGTGGTTTTAGCCGTGTGGTGAAGGATGAGCCCCACCCGTGTGTAGAGCACATCCCAGCATGCATTAGCACTCACAGTACGAGCTCTTGTGTTGTGCCAGGAAATCTCTGTGATCGCTTCTGATACGCGTGTTCAACATCTACATCAGTGCACACGCCGTTTGTTTATGCTGCTACCCTGACAACTTCTGTTGTGTATTGTGTGTGAACAATTAATGGCATTGTATATTACAAAACAGTGACAATACTGCAGCAAATCATATCCCCATATGTGCACTTCTCATAGTTAATGAAAGTTATCCACGAGCAGCAGATCTTCACACTTTGGCTTCTAAACGATCAATATCTAACTTAATGGTGCCTGAGTTATCTGTGTAAGAGTAATGGATTTAAAAAGGTGAGAATCATTGGGTGACGTCGGTCTAATGCCTGTGTAATGAGGCTGCGATGAAATAATATTGCGGGCGTGTTGTCAATTAATCTGCAAGTAACACCATGAAACTGTGAAGAGAAGAGTTGTGTCAACATGTTCATTTGTCCTGCTTTTAAAATGTGCAGTTTTCAATGATTTCATTGCATATAATGTTTCCAATACAATGTTGTGCATGTGTGTTTATTTGGCCTACGATGCTGCTTCTTTATTGGCGCACAGACTCAAAACAAAAAACTACTGCTGGACCTCATCTCAACGGTCAACACTCCAGTAAACAAGTTCAGCTTCACAGCAATCTCAGTCCCGACCTCACCCAACTTGCCCTCCACAAAACAAAAGATCTGACACCAGCAATGCAACTAATTATACAAGAGGAAACCACATCACAAGGAAAGCCTTAAATCAGGTTTCTGCCGAGGGTGACAACTCTTATTTTAGAAAGCAGGTGTGTTTGCATATCGACATGAGCAGCTTTCCAGAAGTTTGTGTAATGTTATTCTATACCATCGTACCTATAAATTACAGAGACTGCTGAGATTGCTGGTCTGTCAAAATACTCAAATTACTCATGAACATATTTATGAAAAAGTGCTGCTCTTGTGATTGAATATATGACAGAAATGAAAACAGATGTTTTTTTCTTTGACATTCCTCTGACTGTGCTGGAAACCTGGACGACAATGGGAATAAGATCTACGGTTCTTTCTAAAGCCAACATCTTGAATTGAGGTCGCCGTGTAATCGGCTCTGGCCAAATATGTCAAGCACTCGACATAATCTCCTCGCTTACATTACATTACAGTCATTTAGCAGACGCTTTTATCCAAAGCGACTTACAATTCAGATTCTATCACATTTCTATACACAACAACTACAGCAGGCACAACTACGGGAGCAATTTTTGGGGTTAAGTGTCTTGCTCAAGGACACATTGACATGCGACTAGCAAAGCCGGAGCCGGGGATTGAACTGCCGACCCTCTGATTGAAAGACGGCCCTGCTATCCACTTAGCCACAGTCGCCCACTGAGCTGTAGCATTAAAAGCATACGGGTCGAACACAAAGCTTAGTAACTGTTGTAAGGCACAACTCATTGATTCATTGTCTTAAACAATACTATTTATACATTTATGTGTGAAATAAGTACGACATTAAGACAATATCTGGCTTTCAGTAGGGTTAGTACAGTGTTTTTTCTTTGCAACATATGGACAACCATTTGCTATTAACAGAAGACTGCTGAATACAGTTATCCTCAAAACACGTACCCATTAGATGTATTTTGCTGCCCATTATTAGCTTTAAAATGACCACAGTATATGTGCCACTAATCGGAACCATTATGTGATTCTCAGTCCTTTATAGGCGTATTAAGGGAAGAGCCGGGGCAAAGAGCCAAGCGATTCAAGGGACAGAGGAAGGAGGAGGGATTATTCAACATTTCTGTTAACCCTCAATGTTATCTAAAGGTTCATGCCACGACATATTCCTCACATCAGACACCTTTGAAAAGAAATGCCACCATATGGCCGACTCCCAAGGCAAGGACGGCTGACGGACGGTATGACTGAATATTTAAAACGCTGTGGTTTTCTTCTTCAAGGATGAAGCCATTCGTAACGTCCAAATAGTTATCTCGTCAATACGAGCCAGAGCACTTTGGTTCTGCATCAGACCAACTCCATACGTTCCTATCAACGTAGCTATATGTGGGAGCCAAACACACTGTGTGTGTTCTTCAATGGTGGATGTCTGTAATATAACAAAACATGAAGTCTGTTGACTCTGAACGACAGATCTCAAATGACATGATGCGCATCACACCAAGGGATTCTGGTGATACAGTGAAACAGCTCTCCAGAGTATCTTCAGTTAACCGGTGTTGTACTTATCTGGGGAGGTCTACTCTGATATTTCCCAAACAGAACTGCATTTTAATCTAAACATCTGATCAAGAAAGGCCGCCCCAAATAAATGTCATGTGTGGGAAGACTGGTTGAAAGTTAGCAATAAAACAGGAGCTGTTGTGTTATTCGTAACAAAAAGTAGTTTCCCTGCTGCACAGGACGGAGTGTAAGAGGAAGTTTAAAAATAAACTCAAAATCACTTCAACTTATTAACTGGGCTGGAGCCACTTGTAAGACTCAATATAAATATACAATATAAATGTGCCAATCATCAAAGAGCCATACTGTTTGTATCATAGTATCTGTCCCTTTGCCTCCAACATCTCTGGGTGTATTAACTATTTTGGCCAATATTGCTAATGAATGAGCATGACGGTTTATGGAAATACCAAATGTGTATATGATAAGTTTCATTAAGTATTCAATTTGTCTGCTGGTTTAGCAAAAAATTGATTAATTTCTGCATATTTCATCAGTTAAAAGTATCTCAATTGATGGTGCAAAATAATTTCTATGTGATGTATAAAATGAGATATACAATGACATACACCACTATATTATTAAACTCTGCTAACTGCTTATCCCTCACAGTTTACAAAGATGCAACATTTTACCTGTGCTTTCAGAATATGGTTGCTAAATCAAAAAATGTGTTAATTAAAATGTTTGAAATACAGATTACACTTTTGGCTATTTGTCAAAAGCTCCACAGGAATAAAACTACATCTAAAGAGCTGATCATACATATTCATCAACACATGCTAAATGCAATTCTCACAATGTTTTTTTAATTGCATTGCTTAACTTCTGCAAAAAGAGAAAAATATGGCATATTGTGCAGTTAGGGGCGGAAACACACTGCGTGATAATGGAAGATAAGTTGGGCTGCATATAGCAATCCATGACAGCCTGCATGAAAAGAAATCACATGGCAGACCGTAAACAAAGCAGTTATGCAACACCCTGACCCACGATCAACTATCCCCAACCAGCGTGCACAGGGCAGCCGTACATAGGTCAGTGTGAGAGGGGAGGTGCAGAGCTGCTGCTGCTGGAGCCCATCCCCCCTGATGTGACTCATGTTTCCCCGCTCAGTGTTGCCTGCTTCCCGCACAGAAGGGGGGCGGGAAAGGGGGAAAAGAAGCGCCATAATAACGTTATTCAACATGCACGGAGTCCATAAAAAGCATCTGCGTGCTGTCAGTCGCTAAAAAAAAAAAAAAAAAAAAAGCAACACGTTCATTATAGCCGTGTGTGTCAACACTACTCTGAAAACTTGAAGGCAAAAAAGTAGCTAATAGGGACATGTCTTCTCATTGTACATATCTTTGAGTGTGCAAAAAAACAAATTGATGAACTGCTGAAAGGGTTCATGACAAAAGTCAACAACGTGGCAATTTTTTTTTTTTTTTTTGCGTTGATGACAAATGTAAGCAGAGCGATGCTGTAACGTGCGGTCATAACACGGCTGTGCAAACCAGAGGATGTGATGCTCCGATATCCTCGCCTTGCAAAAGAGCAAGAAAACACGTCACACCGCATGGCTCTTTATTTGTTGACAAGCCAAACTCAAGAGCCGGGTGGACATTTGGGGGGCGCTTGCGACAACCACTTGCCCCCCTCCCCCTCCTCTAAGCAAGTTGTCTTGCCCGAAATTTTGGGTGATAGCTTCGCAAAGCTAATGGCTCCGCTAGGCTACAGTGTAACTGAGGAAGAGAGAGAAAGCACATTCACCCTCTCCCGTTAGCCGCTAACGCCCATCCCCCAACCAACCAGCCTTCACTGTCTCTGTCCACCATCTTTAATCTGTGCTCCGTCTCCCTTCCCCACCGCACAAAAACAGGGCAAACACACAAGGCACTCACCTCTAACGAACATCGCCGAATCGATTATCACCTTCCCGAAATATTAAATCGATTATCGTTTTAATAGCGTGCGTATTTTAATATTGAAAATTGGCCGTGCGAGCGGTACCGCGCCTTGAGAGAAGAGCAGCAATCCTAAACCGCCATCTGGTGGTATTTTCCTCTCTGTGATGCAGCGGGAGCGGCGCAGCCTCAGACCGACACACAGCTGCCCCCTGGCGGACACACTGGGGCCGGGGCGGACACGCGCCTCGGGGGGTGGGGAGTTGGGGGCGAGCATGGGAAGGGAGGGACCGCGAGACCCCGCGAGCACAACACTCACGGGGACGCGCACAGAAGAGAGACTCCCTCCATCTCTCTCAGTTCAATTATACATTTGACAATAAAAATGTCTAATAAAAAGTATTATAAAGGTTTTAGAGTCTCAAAAACAATACATGAAATACTTACCGGTTAGATTCTTGATTATTGGACACACATTATATAGCAGGGCATTTAAACACAAGTTAAAATACATCACAAAATCCCCAATGATATGATATATTTGAATATGTATTATTTTGCAATATTTGTATTTGTGTACAATTTACAGAAACACACAGCATTGTATGTAGTTGGTCACTATAGTTGTTGCTTTTTATATATATTTACATAAGCCTACATCTATTGTTTCACTACATAATAGTTTTATTTTTGCCTATTTTGTTCAGCTTTATTATCCTCGTCTGTAGCTTTATCTTATTTCTATCATCTTGTAAATTGTTCTTGGAACTGTGTACATTGAGAGCAACTTAAAATCTTTGAATGTGTACACATACTTTGCCAATGAATCGGATTCTGATATAACATACATGTGTTACCAACAATCTATTATTCTGTGGATTGTTTTCCTCAATTAATCATTAATGAAATGTCAAAAATATATTTTTTTATAGTTCTTTAAATGTTTTGGTCTGAACACTAATGTTTCTTCCTTCTTTTTGTTATCTGCCTCTGCCTGACACAGAGAGAAAGTCATTGTGTGTGTGTGTGTGTGTGTGTGTGTGTGTGTGTGTGTGTGTGTTCGAGTGCATAAAACACAAAGTGATTTATTTTGTGTGCACCTTAAAAAGAGCTACGCATTAGATAAGGCATTGACGCACACACATGAATGTACCACATGGTGTTTCATCTGATGGACGCACTGTTGTTTGCTATAGCAACAGCACGTCTTCCCCATAAAAGCTGCAGCCAGACCCTCCCCTCAGGGTTATTAACACACACACACACACACACACACACACACACACACACACACACACACGCACACAAACACACACACAAACACACACACAAACACACACACACACATTCAGACATTATTATTCTCTCATGTTTGGGGTAATGAAGCATTCAACAGGTGCCAAACAAAATCCTGTTTGCAAATATGTTTTGACAAACAAAATAATTATGATTCTTACAATTTTGTGAGGGCCTTCGCTGGCCCCACGTTGTCGGTGCTCGGGCCCTTAATAAAATAAGTCATATTCACACATGAGAACCTGCTATGGAGATCCAAACCGGTGGAATGATTCACATTTATATTGTCTTTAAGTTCTTTGTTAAAAAACAACATTTTCTCTCCTTCCTCTTATTTCTTTGCGACATCAAAAGATTTCAGTGTTTATATCCAGATCCATTCAGCAGGTCAGAGGCTTGCCAACATGGTGGGTGATCTGCTTACAAGTTGCTTGTTCTATCTTGCTGCATTTTTTGTTTATCTGTCAGTTTATATGATTTATTAAAGCTGGGGGAAAAAAGCAAGACGGTTTCTTCTCTAACACTTAGAGGGTCGTGTTGAGAAAATATCCTTCTACGGAAAACAAATTACATCGTGTGCAAGAGCAAAGGTTCTGTTTACACCCAGTCCTTCAACTACCAGCATTTCACAAAGATGTAAGAAACTGAGTCAGAACAGCAGCATGCAGAGATTAGCATTATGCTTTGTCCAAAAAAAACACATCAAATAAATGAAATCAGTGCCAGAACTGGATGATTTTTTGCGAGGCGGGAGGATGATCTGGTGTCACTGATGGGATGGAAACATATCTCTTCATCTTTGAATCATCTGTGTTCTGCAGCTATATTTTGCTCACACTTATGTATGTGCTATTTACAATATTGTATTCACAGCACTGCTGAACATGCATTTACATTTGTTTCTGACAGATAATGACGTTGTAGCTAAAAACATGTACCTCTATGAGGATATATTATCCAAACTTTTGCTTTGTCATTATTCTACCTTCTGGCTGTTGACACGTTTTCTAAAATGTAGGATCTCATGTCTGTCAAGGATCTCAAGAACCCACATTGACTCACAGCAGTGATGTGTGAATAAAAAATACATTCATGAACAGATAAATAATGTAGTAGCGTATATACATTCTCTCATCATCACTACATACCAAGACTTATGAGATTCAGGCTGTTTATCCTCTTGTCTTCTACACTTTTTTTTTCCAGCAATGTTCAGACATTGCTCAGACTAAAGTGGGTGTGTCTGTGCAGGTGTTGCATCATATTGCAGTGTTTTGCAGTGGATTTTAAGCTTTTCACGCTTCCTTTGGACCAAAATCTTCAACACAAACGGTCTCAACCTCCCAAACACATTATGTAGACACTTGCCCAGGTTAATCTAGTCTTAAACCAGCCCAGTATTTGAGCTCATTGAGACTACACCTTGCTTTTTTAAGTATGCGTGGTGCCGTGTTGAGTTGGACTTCCATCAAAACGTCTGGATCCATGTCAGTGATCCCGTTGACCCGGTTTTGAAAATGTTGATTTTTGAGAAACTGTGGCATACATACACACGACGACGCAAACATGGCCAAGCGTGGATGCGCACACACGCACGTAACGCGCTCGATCGCAGCATCCGTCATCATCCAAAAACTTTTACCAGGGGCTGTAACCATGGCAACAGAGGCTGCATGGCGAGCGGCATCAGTGGAAACAAACCCTTTTAGACTGTCAAAGGTAATCACAGGTCATCACTCAAATAGTCGAGAGAAGAGCAGGGACAAACGTCTAAATCTGTGGGAAAACACAGGCCCACGGCTCATTTCAAACCTTGTTTCTTTTGTTTTTTGTTTGAGGCTGAAACGCACTCATTTGACGTATTGAGAGTTATGCAATGAAGGTCCGTATTTATTCTTCGTCTCATCTCTGGGGCTCTTGACTAACAGCGAGGCTTTACGTGGGTGTTTTACGTCTGTTCTATTTTTAATTCCCTCTGACCTTCCTTGCAGCGTTTTCACACCTGAGGCTTTTTTTTCATTTCGCTCGCAATCTCTCCCCCCCCCCCCCGACTTTCTTCCCTTCTATTCCCCCCCCCCCCCCCCTCCCCTCCCCTCCCCTCCCCTCTCTCCTCCTTTCCACCGCTGTGGTAATGCAAAATGTATGAGAGGTACAGTAAGCTGGGGGGGGGAAATAAATCACAGTCTATCACAACCCTACTTGTGAACCAGGCATCGTCCGTCACATCCACCTCCCTCGCTGGAACACACACACACACACACACAGATGGTGCTTTACATCGCCAATGTTTTATTTTGCTGCAGTGTGTGTCATACACCACCTGCCCAGCCTTCTAATTTTCCCAGGAAGTTCCTCGTCTTCATCCCTATCTTCATCTCTACAGTGTCATTTTTGACTCCCTTGTTCCTCCCCTCCACCGCCGAGGCCCGGTGATGAATGTGTCTCTGTCTGTGGTTGCGCTTCACTTATTTCTGCTCCCATCAGCTCCTGCTGTAAAGAGACATCCAAGGATACCAAGCTTTGAATAATGACATCCTGTTTATAGATCATAAACACTCACCGCCCAAAACAGACCTCTTTAATAACCCTGCGACAGTGTGAGGAATATTGATGCTGAATATCACTCAATGCCTACTGGTTCTTTTATTTTTTAATAGAAATCGGTTAATTAAACTGTTCAAATGTAAAGTCAGTTTCCATGAATGGTGACAGACTGAGAATCATGATGCCTTCCTGTGTTAAACAAGTGTGAAACTGGCAGAGAACCTACCCAACCTACATGTGCTAACGTGCGCGTGAGCATAAGTGAGAAACAGAAATAGATAGTGTGTGTTTGAGAGGCAGATGGAGGAAGAAAGATAGTGTAAAAAAATGAGAAACCCAAGTTCAGCTCCCACTCTGTCCTTTGCCTGATACTCTATAATTCATTTCATCCTGGCCAGAGATGGAGCGAGGGAGGCACAGAAAGCTTCTTGACTCCGGTTCTCACATGTGCTTGAATTCATCAAAAACCTCTTTCCTCTCCCGTACTCTCCATCCACCCATCGCTGCCCTCTTCTCTCCACTACACCGCTCTCATCCCACCCATTTGCCTCCCCCCCTGTCTCCCCACTTCCTCCCTGCTGTCAGCTCATCTTTGCTGCCTTTCGAGGCTGCACCTTCTGTGTGGATTGTGATGAACCTATATATATATATAAGGCTGGCCTTGCAGAGTAGACGATGGGATTCAAACAGAGCCCTGAATAGCTGGGTCCGATTCACTCATATTCAGCGTAACCATGGAAACACTAGATATTCCTCCTCATCCTCGGAGAAATAGCCTAAAGCAAATGGATGAGTGAGATAGAGAAAGAAAGAAATGTAGTCAGTTAAATTCTCGACCACCCATGCATCAATCAGAAGAGCATGCCACCATTAATTCCCCCGGGGACAGCACATTAAGGAAATTTGTCCATCAGTGCTCCATGCATTTGTCCATATCAAACTCATTTTTAACCTCCAATTTTGGCGGCGTCTCCAGGCTAATTATGTAAAAAAACGCCACCACAGTTGTGTTGAATGAATAACTAGTACAAGTGTAGAGTCTGACATCCCAGATGCACTCAGAATTCATGAATTTTAAGGAGTGAGTTTTTTGCAGTAAATCTCTTCCATTAAGGATCAAATCCTCACGTTTTCAAGCTGCAGTGCAGACTTAGCATTTCTCAAACAGGTGGTACTGTTTCAGCAACTTAAAGCTGCACTTATCAATGTTTTTATATTAATGATGGCTCAAATGACTGTGTGTAACGTGGACACGGCTGCTTGTGGTGATAAACCCACAGAGAAGTATCACCCGACTCTGCAGTTCTCTCCACTTGTTTTGGTTTTATGGCCCACAGATTTAGGTGTTTAGGGCAAAATTAAAAAATATTTTAAAAAGACTTTACATTCCCCGCTCAGCAAATGACAGACACACTAAGTTAGCAACTAGCTGGTGAACATAGTGGAGAATTTAACAGCTAAAGACCCAGAAAAATCCCCAAAACAAGATCAAACCAAAGCTAAAAGGGGAATTAATACATTCGTTGTGTGGCTGAAAACATGAATCCAAATAAATGCTAGTATTGCTCCATGTCTGCTTAATGTGTAATTAGGCAAGTGTTTGCTTGCTGCTAGTTGCCTAATTACTGCAAGAGTCAATGCTAGATAATGGTCTCCAGCGAAGATTATCAGTAATTGTTTGCAAGTATAATAATGACACTGTTGACAGGGATGTCTTCTTTGACATACCCTCACCACAAAGTAAAGGGCTAATTAGAAATCACCATGTGTAATTGGTTGGAAAGGAAACCTGGCCACTCTCTCATTCGAACACCAGATATAGAAAAAGAAAAACATGCACTATGCACAGAGACGAGAGAGGTGGTTGCTAATGTTTATTGGCTGTTTCTCATTTCCACAATCCACATATCTGGGGCAATTAGTGAGCAGGAAGAGACGTCTTTTGACTCTCATCATATGCTCGCTAAGTCAGCATCCACAGGGGCCGCTGCTTCTTATGAAACAGTGTGGCGGTCCAACCTAACAACAGAACCCAGCTGCATTCGGCAAAGGTTAATACAGCTTGAGATGGAGCAGAGCACACCAGTCAGCAAATTGTCAAAGCAATTACTGTCAGTTTGCACAAAAAAAAGATGAAAGTGTGTGAGATCGTGTGCAGTGTTTGTGAGTCAAACAGAGGAGAGAAACTGTACCCGATCGGCCTCCTCTTTATTTAATCTCTGCTCACCATTCGCACCACTAGTATCGTTATCATTATAACTCAAATGCCTCTATAACAGCCACATATTTTAGGTGAAGGCTTTTCAACAAGACCTTGGAACCTGGCAGCAGATATTGTCTCCCATTAAGCCACAAGGGCATCAGTGAGGTCGGCCATTGACGTCATCCCACTTTATCCCAAACGTGTTGGATGGAGTTGAAGTCAGGGCTCTGTTCAGAAAGACCATTTCTATGCATGCTTTGTACATGTTTCAACATTTAGACATATTGAACAGGAAAGAGCCTTCTCTAAACTGTCGGAATCACTCTATTGTCTTAAATAATAATAATTGGAAATAAGGAACCTGGCTCCAAACCATGAAAAATCAGCCATGGGCCAATAGGACAGAATATAATGTGGAGCAGTATTTTAGACAGTATAGTGTGTACACATCTCAGCAGATCTAATTATATATTTTCTTTATTTTAATGATTTAATTTTGATGTTGTTATTTTTCGTTGTTTTGTAGTCTTGCATTTCAAATGTTGCATTTCCTTTCTTTCAAAATTCTGATGTTTTGATTATTACATATTGTGAACCTTGCACAACCTGCTTTGGCAATCCGCGCCGGATAAACTCAGATGATCCTCTACTGACAAACCTTCACAACCACCATCATCATCTCTCTGTGCATGGTGTGTGCATCCTGTTATCTCCTTATAAATCAAAGATTTACATACACAGTATATACAGAAATATATGCACCATAAGAGCATATATATAGGCCCCAATTTTAAAGGGAAATTTTGCCAATTTACAGTTAGCTTTGTATTGTTGCAGTGTGGGTGGTACGTGCAAATAAATGATGCTCAGCTTCCCTCCACGTTGCTGGCAAAGCTCCGCCTTAATTTGACCACGAAGCGTCTCGTTCTGCGTCAACGCCAGTGTGGTGGAAAATTATTTTACCCGCTGTTGAGTCTTATTAAACTGAAATGAAGAATATCGTGAAACAGGAATTGTCTTTAAAGTATTTATTCTCTGCGCAGAGAAGAGGCACAGTTATACAGAGATAGAACATGTGAATATACAACAGGTATACTTGTCCATCTTAGAGAAGAAGAAAATATGGGTCAGCTGCTGCATGGATCACAAGTCTCATGATGCAAGCATATGATAGACTGTTTCACAACAAGTATATAAAACAGTTCTACTTATAAGAACATAAAATACTCATACGAATATAACATTCCATTAACCAAACAGCAAGATACATTTGAGCATGTATGCTAACACAAAGGATGCATATCTACTGTTCAGAGCAAAAGTACAAGCATTTAGGCATTTCCACAATATACTAAATATATACTAAGTAGAAATTTACCATTACAGCAGCAAGTTGGGGGGAGACCAAACATCGTTCATTTGCACATGCCAGCCATAATACATCGATCCAATGCCAGTTGAAAATCTTCTGGGTGTCCCTCTAAATAATGGAGGTATTGAAAAGTGTTTGGTACGGGCCCCCAGATGATGAAATGAGGATGAAATACAAATGCAGAACCTGGGTTAAAAATTCTGATATTGTAACTTCTCTGTGCATGTTCCCAAACTAAGACAAAACGAAACAATTTAAACTGGGTCTTTTGGTGGCCCTCATGAGTGTCTAAGAGCACCAGGGCAGGATGCCAAAAAAGAAGAATATGGAGAAAAAAACAACTATATTTCTATTCTTACAATAGACATAGGAAATGATACGGGAACACACGTTACAAGTAAGGGTTGTGTTTATCTGGCCGTGATAAATCATAGTCTCTCTCTCTCACACACACATGGGGTGACACATAACATACAATGATCAGGGTGATACAGTGCTGGTGTTCAGTGGATGTCACGCATGCTCAGACGTTATGATTAGCTCTCTCTCTCTCTCTCTCTCTCTCTCTCTCTCTCTCTCTCTCTCTCTCAGTCTGAGGAGGAGCATCTGTATCAGTGCCCAGAGCGTGATGGACGGGCGGCAGGTCGCTATAAAACACACATTGTCCTCCCGCAGAGCGTAAAGTTAGGTGACCGCAGGGTCTGGCTGGGCGGCGGAGGCGTGTCGCGTTTGCCCTTGAGGAGACTATTGGCTGCCGCAGGAGAAAGCGGAGGAGAGGGTATACTAGCAAAAGACGGGGGACGAACAAATGGCCAACAAGAGGTGATGGATCTTTGGAGATGCTCGGTAAATGACTGAGGCTGACCGAGAGTGAAGTTCAACCCCGGCGAGATCCGCTGTTTGCGGGAAAGCAGGTGAGTTGAGGCGGAGGAGGAGGTGTTTTTTTTTCTAAACTATAAGCTATGAATAACCCATCCGTTGGTTTATTGATTGCACCACATTATGCAATACCACGAAATTACAGCAGGTCACTAATTAGGAAGCCGTCTTAGGACTCAGCCGGGGTTCATTGACAGCTGCCGTTTGGCAATCTGCGGGCGCATGCAGAGTGTGCGCGCACTTCTCTCCATTCAAGAATTCGTCATGGGTCGCCGTTTGGGCTGTCATTGAAGGCAACAACATCATACATACATACATAGATACAGGCATACACGCATGCTGTATGGTGGACGCCAAACAAACCCTCACCGTGTGCCAGGGGCGGGAATCGAAACGTCATCCCTGCAGATAACCAGCAGATAAATTATGCTTTATGATGTAAAACGGCAATTTAATTGGATTCAAACGCGACAACGCGTGCAGCACAACCCCTGCCGTTTCGCGTGTGCGTGTGTGTGTCAACCCTCAGGCGTCACAGAGGCGCATCACCGAGGAACTTGATAACCTTGAACCTTGATAACATCTTCCTCTTCATATACAGACACTCACTTAAATACACATAGACACATAGGCTACACATGTATTTACATAATACAATGCAATTACCCCTAATAAAGAACACACATGTCTATATATAAGTGTATGTAGGGTGTGTGTATACAGTTAATAATCAACATTGTAGGAGTACCATTCATAAAATATTTGGCCTACTCTATAGTCCATATGAAAGATGTTTTTGCTTTTGAAATAAATTGTAGAACATGCATGTGAATACACCAGGAGGAAAGAGCCTCCTCACATAATGCAGGTATACGATGATGTGCTCATAGCGGCTCATTTTAGGGTTGTGTAAGGTGTGAAACAAGCTTTTGAGAGCAGCAGCAGTGGAAGCAGCAGCAGCAGCATTGCAGAGGCAGGCTGCATCATTAAGATCAGTAGATACCACAGACTGAGAAGAGAACAGTCAGAGTGGAACATCCTGATCTCTTTATGCTCTTTGTGTTTTTCACAGAACGGAAGATCAGGTTCCATATACCCTTTGTTGGTAGTAATTGCCTAGATCTTCTCAAATGTCATCGGCACAACCTCATGCCTGTGGTTTCTTTTTTACTTCATTCAGAGACCCGTGAGGTTGTGAAATCACAACTGATGTGTCATTTAACACATCATTTTAGTGCAAGTCAGGTTGATTTGAGAAGTAAGTACAATTTCCTCAAAACTCAGATTTTCAAAGAAAGGTATATGTCATATTTTAAATTAAATACTTCATGAGCTGTTCTCTATTAACTGCACTCACAGCGTGACCCTTGTAATTTGTAACAATTCAGGTTGATTCGTGGGAATACTCTCAAGGCCACGTATAGCCAGCCACAAATCCACAGCCTCCCTCTGCTGCTACCACATCAAAAGGCCTGCAGCCATGTGAGAAACAGCAGTGAGCTGCCAAAACTGCTGCTTTGATTTTCCAGAAAACGATGATACATATCGATATTGCATATGAAATGTCTTATACTGTGATCAAATATGTTATCCTTGTGGACCTATTAATATTTATCTTTTGAGTTTATTTGCTCCGTCGTTGTGATTTATTGCAAGCGGCTCGGCTCTATAGGCACCGCAGTGTCTATCGGTCACTCACTTCATCACTGGTGTTCAATCTATCAGATGGATTGGCACAACCTTTGGTACAGATTTTAAAAGACTTCAATGATGCCCCGACTTTTCCTCTATCGTGACAAAGAGGTTGACATTCATGGTTTTAAATGTGTGTCTCAACAACTGTTGGATGGTGTCGCCATCAAATGTGGTACACATATATTCATGCCCCCCCTCAGGACAAATTGTAATCACAATCTCTTAACTTTTCATCTCGCGCCATCATTTTTTCAAGACTTTGTAAACAAATACCTCTGCTGCATTTTGTTAAAGTAAACAGTGGTCAAATGTATACCTGCTAAAAATTAGAGTTAGAGTTCATTAGAGTTTAGCTCGAAGCACCGCTGTGCCCAAGTGCAGCCTCGCAGAGCCGCTAGCGTGACCGTAGACTTTTAAAAATACACATTTTGTAATTAAAGTGTGTGGGTACTGTATTTCAATAAGTTAAGTGAAGATGTGGTTCGCTTGCTGTGTTTAGCCAAATTACTGTTGAATAATACCGTGTAACTCCAGAGAAATAACTGAGCACGATATGCTCCACATGTCTTATTAAAAGAGTAAACATTATTGGCTCTTACAATTATGTTGTGGGAAAGTATTCCCCGTTCCCGGAGAAACCGCTGGACTGCTGAGTGTTTTACAACCTGAATGCAGCAGTGGGTGTGTGCCGTGCAGCACCTGCATGGTCATAGTGTTCTGCTGCAGAGAGCTATTACTACAGCAGTTATAAGTTAGTCATCCGGGGAGCAGGACCTTAAAATTAAAGAGATGGAGGAATGAAATGAGGAGGGGAGGGAGATGGTTGAGAGGGAGGTATTAAATTAGACATAAGATGTGGGATTCATATACCTGCTTTTTATGCAAAAGCTGACACTAATGTTTTGACAGCCTGAGAATGTGAGCAATACGTCTATGTCTCTTATTGTGCCTGCTTGAATGTATAACGTGAGGGAGGTGAAGAGGAAGAGACAGAGGGAGAAAGAAATTGTTAGAGGCCGAGAGAGATAAAACGACGAATGAGGCAGGAAGCGCCTGCTTTACGTAACTGTCATTGCCAATGATCTCTAAAACCCCTTGAAAGTCATGTTATCCAAGAAGTCTAAAAGGCGCGATCATAGAGTTGTTAATCTGCCATTATGGTGCTTTATGATTCTGCTAATATGAACTCAATGTGAACTCTCATGAAAAAAAAAACCCCCTAAAACAATTAAAGTGGTGATTGCTCAGACGGGCAGAGCTTACGTTCATTCCCTGCCAAACACGAGGGGCACATGGGAAGATGTGTCACTGCTATTATTATCTTGGATATTAAAGATACATGAGATATGAAGCAGTATCCTAGAGAGGGACAGCGTGAGGGAGAAAGCAGAGAGAGGATTTGCAGCAGCGTGTGTTGTATGTTGTGTGTGGTTCTAAAGTGTCCTTTCCCTCGCAGGTGTCTGTGGTCATTGCAGTTTTAAAATGGAGTCCACTCACCTCCTGAGCAGCTCGAAGAAGAGGGTAAAGATCCACCCTCACACAGTCACAGCCAAGTACGCCACGCACACCCCCTACTCCCCTCAACCTGGAGTACACACACACTTCCCCCAGCCAGGGGACGAGGGCTACGATGACGCTCCGTCTTTTGAGGACTTTGGCTCCTTCCTGGAGGAGACTTCAGACAAGAAACAGCTGACGGAGGGCAGGAAGTGGCCCCTGACTCTGTTTGGGTCCAAAGACAAAGACACGACTAGCAAACCTCAGGCTGCCGCAGGAGGAGATGGCAACGAGGGGGGAGCCAGAGCAGCCAAGGGGGCTGGGAAAGGAGTAGGGGAACAGCTGGCCAGTTTCGGGGAGGCGTCTGTGTCTGCGTCTCGGCTCACCTGGGTCGGGCTGCTAGGTGCGGCGCTGGCGCACGGCTGTTTGATTGTTTTGACCCGCGTGGCCTCTGAACGCTTCAGCCTGGGCCCCCTGTTTCTGCTCTTGGTTCGGTCCGTCGTCCAGCTCCTTTCTGTGGCCGTACCACTGCACAGGGGGGAGAACCCTTTCGGACCGGCGGGCTACCGTCTACGTCTGCTCTGTTACGGCGTCGCCTACTCTCTCTCCCTCTGCTGCGCCTACGCCTCCTTAACCTTCGTCTCTCCCGGAAACGCCACGACAACCTGGCGCCTGGCGACCACGGCGCTGTCAGCGACCCTGGCCTTCCTGCTCCTGGAGGAGAGGCTTGGATTGGCTGATGGGATCACCATAACTGCAGGACTGTGCGGTTTGGGGCTTGTGTTACTTCCCACAGCGGACGAGAGCAACTCAGATTCACCGACTGACCCGGTCGTGTTCTGGAGGGGTGCGTTTGGTTGGTCTCTTTCAGCTCTTGCAGGGCTGTGGATGGCTTTGGCACTGGTTGGGTATCGCTCCCTGAAGGAGAGGGTGGGAGTGGGCACAGCTTTGTTCACAGTAAGCTGGACGGGCTGCCTGCTCGCCCCGGCCTCCTTGGCTCTGCTCCAGGAGGGCTGGTCCTGGCCTTTGAGTGCCCCAGCCTGGTGTCTGGTCCTGGGCCTGGTTGCATGCTCGGTAGCAGCCTTTCTGGGGATGACGCACGCCCTCACCCGACTCCACCCTGCTCTGGTCTCTGCCTCTCAGAGCCTGGAGGTACCCGTTGCCATGCTGCTGCATCTGGCGGTGCTGCCATTGGCTCCCACCGCGCCGGAGGTGGTCGGGAACGTGATGGTCATACTGAGCGTCGGTTGGCTGGTGGCGATAAAGCTGCTGCCAGCCCGTGGGGGAGGGCGGCGCCAAAGGGAAGAGTATGAGGAGATTCTGGACTCACCTATCAAATAGGCATCTCTTCACACCTCCTCTTTGTCTTCCCCTGACTCCCTCCATGATGAGATTGGTTCCGGTGTACATAAGAGACTGCTAAATGTTTATTGGAGCTTTATCGATTTTGTATTGCCGTCTTTGCTTTTGAGAAAGTGCCAATATTGTGTTGTCTGTTAAAGTGACTATGTGATGTGACATTAAAATCTCTCTGTTGAACACGATGCATTCCTGAAGCCACTCCTAATTAGGATCTCACCTCCTTCAGTGTGTGTGTGTGTGTGTGTGAGTGAGTGAGTGAGTGAGTGAGTGAGTGAGTGAGTGAGAGAGAGAGAGAGAGAGAGAGAGCGTATTGGCTACATTTCACAGGAGTGTCATGTCAGTCACTTTTACCAGCCAGCTGAGGGTTTGCCAAGGATTGATGCCATCTATTTGGCTGCTGGCGAACGAGCGAGAAAACAAGAGATGGGAGGCACGAGAAAGGAGCGAGACACAATGAAAGGAAGATAAATGCTGGTAGAGCGAGAGAAGATGATGGGATTGGCAGACAGATAAGACGCAAGAGAGAAAGGAGAGTGATGGCAGATGATGAAACAGAGGTGAAAGAGAAGGAGGCCGGGGTAGAAAGTTGGGCTGCTGGTCGCTGGGTATTGTGCTGCGTGTCTGGCTAGCTGGCTGATTCTGACACTGTTCTTTGTGTCTTATACCTAAATGTCAGACACATAAGCACCGTCACTCGTCTTTTCTGGGCCTCTCCTCCTCTATTTTACTCATCGTTAGCCTCCTGCTTTCCTTTTCTCTTCTTTGTATTTGTGTTAAAAAATGAATGAAGCGCCAACATGAGATGACACGACGAAGCTATTGAAACTGATTTAGTAGGAAGTCTTTGAAGTCTTTGAGGAAAGACACACACACACACACACACACACACACACACACACACACACAAAAAGGCATGGGCACAAGTATCCATTCATGCCATGGTTGTAGGCCTTTCATTAGAGAAAAATGATGTGATGTCAGAAGGCTGGCCTAATTAAAATCACATTTGGTTTAAATATGATTTATTGCTATTTTATTTCCTACATTCGGTGGAATGTAACGTTTTACATTTAGTCACAATCTGTAGGTACTTGTACTGTATTTTACGTGTCTCAATATACTCTACTACATTTTAGAGTAACATTTATTTGACAGCTATAGTTACGAGTTTCTCTGCCGGATAAGATTTGACACACAGTTAAGTATGATGTTTTGTGACAGATTAAACTACCTAAATGTATATTATAATTATAATAATTAACACAGAACGTACCTCCAGTCAATATCAGCCATTGTGTGGTTCAGAACAATGAATGTGTGTGTGTGTGCGGTTGCAGGAGGGATGGGCTGGCGGCAGTGTAATAGCTCTGGCAGGGTTTCATTCAGCATAAACACTCTGAGCATCGTAAGTTGTGGCCTCTTTGCATCCAGACACTCTTAAAGCAGCTAATGAGAGGGAGAGACCTGCCCAGAACTGAACACCATCCAAAACCTCTGAGACACTTCCTTGTGGCTGTCGGTATCTGCAGACACCACCACAACTACACAAACATTGAGGTGGTGGTGTAAGGATACAACACATGCACTGACGAATGAAAGTGTGGGCATGGGTGTGAACATCTGAAAATGAGTTGATTACTGCGTGGGAGGAGGGAGGAAACCGTTCCAGGAGGCTGATTAGGTCGATTAATTCGTTTTTATTCATTACAGTGAAGCCACAACATTTATGGTACATTTAAAGTCATTGTCACCAGACAAAAACATGCTCACAAGTAAAAAAGAAACCGAGTATGTGCAAAATCATTACCACAGTCCCCGGTACATCTTATATTATTTTTTGCCTGTTGGCAATTCATGTGTCTCCTCTGTCCTTCCTGCCTGCTCCATCAGTCTGCTCAGCTGCAGGTGAACCTTCTGCAGCTCTGTTGTTGCGGCAACCAGGGCCTTTTCCATTGTGGCCATGTCCTGCATCTCCAGGCCAGATGTGAATGGCTTCATTCCCAGGCCAAATGCTGCCCCTAAACCCCCAGGTCTTGGTGTTGGTAGGCGCCCCATCCCACTGCCTGTTGCTCCAGAAGGCACCGCTCTGTGGCCTCCACCTTCCTCCAGCCGTTTCAGCCGGGCGTTCGCCTCATGGCCACTGTGCAGAAGCCGGTGCAACGTAGCGTTCAACCTTCTCTCCCTCTCTGCGTCCTCCTCCCGGAGCTCCAGCAAGCCTTGTTGCAGTCTGGCATTCACCTGCTCGGCTCGTGCCCTGCAAGATGACTCCAGGCTGGGTAGACACTGCTGGCATGTCACCTCGGCCAGCTTGTCCATCTGTGTCCTGAAAGAGACCATACCTCCGCAGCATTGCTCCAGAGACTCCAGCAGCATGTTCTGCCTCATGTTGGAGTCCTCCAGAGTGATGAAAAGCTTGTCCCAGCGGGAGACATCTGCAGCCTGGCATGGTGTGGTTGGAGTTTCTCCTGTAGACAACAACCAGAGGGATGCATCAGTTATAGTTGTGCAATTATGAGAAATAATGGGGACCGAAGGATAAAGTAAAGGGAAACAAAAATAAAGTTGGGAAAATGCTTATTTTCTGGCGGACCTATGCAGTAATTATGGTGTAACGCAATTCACAGTTACGATGAATGTGTTTGCCCTTTGCTTATGGCAAACTGCAAGTTACTACCTAAAGTTTATTTATATACAGTGGTTCCGCGTTAAAGAAAACAGTTACATGCAGCATCTAATTTACTTGAGTATAGTGTTTTAAATTATTTTGATTTAAGGATTTTAATTTCAAAACGTTTTGTTATTCATCTCACTTAGTAGTATTTAAAACCCATAGCTTTGCTTGTTAAAGTTAAAATGACCTGTGAGCGGACATTGTATTTAATCTATTTTGATGTGATCAGAGAGAGCAGAGATAGTATCTTCTGTCGAGGGTTTTACATAAGAAATGTACAATGCAAGTCCCTTCTATGATCTGTACAAAATTATATTTATGTTGACTTTAAAAAAAAAAGAAGTATATAGTTAATAGAAGTGGACCAACAATACACCCCTGCGGGACACCTTTGCTTACCCTTCAAAACTAATAAATCAAAGTGTGAGGATGTATTCTTAATCAAAGCAAATGAGATTTATTTGATTGGCTTATTGAAATTGAGCATTTCAGCTGAGGACAAATTCTTCACAAAGACAAAGCCATCTGTTCAAGCAAGCAGGGAATAAAAGAGACGAAAGTACCAACAAACATAACTCACCGTCCTGGTGGCCTGGAGAGATCTCGTTGTCATAGTTGTCTGCGTAGTTCGCTTGATACTCAAGCTCATTCACACACAAGGATGCACCCACCAAGCCAAGCACACACAGCACACGCCAGATCCTGAACACATGCATGATGAAGCTCTGAATGTGTTGCTTTTTTAAAATATCATGAAAGTTGTGTGTTCTTCACCCAGTTTTGCAGCTGCTCCCTCTTCACTATATTTAAAGTTCTTCACACTGAGCCAACTGTCGCGGGTGCTGGCTTATAAACTCAGCGCAAGGGAAGGAGGGAGGTGGAGGAGGGTGGGACAGAGGTGGGGGTGCTGTGGAGGTTGGGTGAGTAATGCTTCAGTGGAGGTAATATGTCAAAAGTCAAACTGAGTGGGGAAATATAGGGGCATTATGAGGAAAGAGAGGGTGAGTTAAGGGGCACAGGGAAAGCTATGGTGAATAGAAAGGGATGGAGGGAAAAGAAAACTGTTGCTTAAAATAACTGAAACATATGGAAGTAAAAATAACCTATCATTTTACTTGATTTGGTGCAGGCAGTAGCTTATTATGGCTTGTGTTATATATTGCTGTAACATAGATATTGTTAAGATATTATAAGATATATATTGCTGTATAACTGACATAACTGGGGCAGTTTGCTGACTTGTACTGTTACAGTAGGTTTTTAGCATTATCCCAGAACTGGCTGCTGTTCAGCAGCAGCTATGAAGACTCACTTAAGTATTTTGATTCTCAACCTATCTTACAAGTGTTCGTCCCTACCTAATTTCTTGATATATTTGGGAATATTTGAGCTTTAAAATCTGTCAAGGTTCAGCTTTATTGTCATTAACAAGAGGATTGCACAATGACACATAGTTTTAGCGACACAAATAGAAATTGTATAAATAAGATGAAGAAATCAAATTTAAACGGAGTGAAAATTTGTATTAAAATAAATACAGTAGTAGTTGTAGTATATATAGTAAATTATTCTATATGTATGTAGGACATGGGTTAGGTATATACCAAACTGATTTAAAAAATGCTCTATACCAGGCTAATCAATGGGCAAAATCTAATAATCATTGTCATTGCAGGAAGCGTACATCGCTGTGAGTGCCACTGGCCTCTACCGCCATTGTTAACATCATAGTGTTCACAGGATATTTCAGTCCACACTCTCGCTCTAGGTCTGTCTGCCTTTTCAAGATGAGCCAGAGTCACTCCCTGCTCCATGCATCAACACCAAATCCCTTAGCCAAAATAAATTGCAACATTGCAGAATCTGGATTATATTTTGAACTTGCAATGACTATGTTTTTACCACTTGAAATTAAATATTGTTGCGAAGCAACACTGCAATATTTGCTTTCTGGCTGTATTTTGTTGCCTGGCTCCCCTGTTGATTAAACATCCCAAAAGGAAGAATTAGAAGGCCAAATGATTATTCTTACAGACAGAGTGCTGTGGTCAACAGGTGTTGGGGTTAAGCAGCAGAAGTATGACAAGTCATGGTCAGAGGAAAAACCTTGACCTCTCTACTCTCTGCAGAGCTCCAGATGGAGCTCCCCCTGCAGATGTCAGCAAGTCTGCCAGTAACTATGTATGATTTTCTCTGTTTGGCAGCTTGTAATAGGAGCAGAGGGACTAATTGGGATGGAAGCTGGCAGGTTTATCTCAGGAAAACAGAACCTGCAGAGGAAGAGATGGACCGACAGAGAGAGAAAGGATAGTTGGTGAGGAAAGCTAGAGAGGGACAGAGGAAACTTGCATACTTTTTCCTTTCCTCATTGCAACATTGTGTGCATTTCCCTGGCCCACTTCCATTAAATTCAACAATTATGATCCCCTCAAGAAAGCAATACACTTATATGATCTTGCAGTTGTGATACAGGTGTCATACAAAATTCAGTTTATGCATGTCAGAAACAGTTGGTGTTTTCATCTTTTTCCTCTATGAAAGTCGGATTTGAGGAGAGTATCAGCACAAATTCTGTTCAGATCGGAGAGAAGTAGAACAGATCATGTCGTCTGGTTTGTTTCAATGAAACCAGAGATGTCAGGGAAACTGGGACAGTGGGTGTTATCAGCAGAACTTCATAGGCTAAAATATAAAACACCAACAGGACTTTAATTTTGAATAAACACATACTAACACTAACTCAGCAAAGTTCGCTAACAAAAGCCAGTTTTATGAGAACAGAGTGTATCCTCGTTTTATACCCAATATGTAGATGGGGAGGAGAGGAAACCATGGAGATATGATTAGAAAACAGTGTACTGCAAAACAATAGAGCTATTGTAAGAATATAACAGACTTCTATGTTTAAAAATAGTGTATGGTAATGTTATAGCTTACTGCTGTACTAAAAACTGCAGTGAGAAACAGTCAGGATTCAAAATAATAGCTACCTGACCTAAGAAAAGCCTTTGATACTGTGGACCATGCCCTGCTGGTTTCGTAATCATCTCTCAGGTAGGACTGAATGTGTCAAAGTCAATGGGCACAGTTCAAACGGACTTACTAAATGGAGTACCTCAAGACTCTGTGCTTGGCCCACTTTTCTTTTTTCACTCACTACCATTTTTCCCTACTATCACTCAACTCAAACACGTGCAGCATGCAGATAAATACAATTTGATGTTGTTTTCTAATCCTAAAAGGTGGCCTGTAGATATTGTGGTCAATGTTAAAGCTAAGGGGAAGAGAACAGAATGTCCTGGTTACAAATATCAAGGTATTTGGTTTGATAAAGGTATTCTATTTATAGACGGTGTAGTGAAAACTCTGGTAAATGACTCCCTGATCTGTTCAGCCTATACCATCAGCTTTATTTCAGTTTTACTACCTATTTTATGTATTGTTTTATCTGTTGCCTGTGTTTCTATTATTTTGTCTGCATTGTGTTGTTCAGGTATCGCTTGCAAAAGAGGTTTCCAACCTCAGTGGGATTTAGCTGGTTGAATTAAATACAAAATAATATACGGTACCTGCCCATAGAAATGTTATCTGTGTCTGTGCCCCTCAGGTAGCAGACAGAACAGAGCCAAATATAATTACAAACATCCCAATTCCCTTTATCTGCTTTCCTAACTCACTCATGTCAACCAGACCTGCAGAACAGTTTCCTTCCTGTATCACACAAGAGCACACCATCCAGAAAAGACCAGAGAGAGAGAGAGAGAGAGAGAGAGAGAGAGAGACAGAGACAGAGACAGAGAGAGAGAGAGAGAGAGATGCCGTCTCTGCTGACGGACAGGATGCAATGATACAAAAAAAATAAAAAATAGGAAACATAGCAGGGACTTGCTGTATCAATGTGCTGGAAACACACTCATGAGCAGCTAGGGACAGATTGAGCAAAATCTATTCTTGTTTGGTTGAGTCAGAGGAAAGTTACAGGAACGAAACACTATCTAATCTGTCTTCAAGCACTGGCCGTGCTTCCTGTGAGGCGCCCCTAGAATGTCGAGTTGAAGTAGTGGTGCAACAGAAGTGTTTATGGGGGTATTGCGCCAAAGGCCTCCTGACTGCACTCTGGTCAATATCACAGAAGCTGCGCTTGATCGATCCAATCTGTTCGCACAGCCTCAGACAGGAAAGTGGTGAAGAAGTGGGAGCGAAACTCATGAGACAAACACACTTACTGTTTTGAGGTTGCACCACTTGACCTAATTATCCTGTTGAGACAATTAACAATACTGCAATCGGTGAAAGAAAGCCAAGCTTCACACTGTGTCAGCATGGCTTTATGACTAGAGGCCTGGGAAGCCCGATCCACACCTCAATCTGGAGCTGATGGTGTGTGTAAATGATATGAGAAAGTACATTGCGGAGCAGCACATTTTAACGAGGAAAATAACTGAAACACCTCGACAGGAGAACAAAAGATCCACACTGGACGCTGCCGTCGAGACCTCCGGATGCAGTCTTAGAACTGCACGCCGTGCTCGGCCAGCTCACCGGGCAGCACCACACTACAGCTCTTTTAAGAGCTACCCAGCCACTATAATGAGACTCTGGTTCCTTGTTCACTATGTACTTCACCATATGGATTTGCAAGACTTTTCCATAACAAACCATGTTATGGAAATTCATGTAAAACCTGTAATTATAAAGGGTTTATAATAATGCAACATTACACAATATACAGCATTAAATTGACTTGTGACACGTTGTGATTACTTAGATATTCTTCACTTCACTCACCTTCACACTGCAGTGGTATGACCTCAGTGCCTTTAAGGCCAGAAGGTAACTAACATAATAGAATAAAATGGAAAAAAAAGCTGTACAATAGAAACTACATACGAGTTTCAGAACAGTTGGAACAATATAACTTGATATAGCCTGTGATTGGTAGAGCAGAGGGGAGGAGGGGGTTACCTGGTCTGTGTCGGGAGCTAGTCAAGGTCGTTAGACCAGAACCAACGAAGAAGAGAGTATGAATGAATATAACTTATGAAAACAGAAAGGAACAGTTTCTGAAATCTGTTTTTGTTAAGATGTCTGGAATAAATTCTGTTTAACAAGCTGAAGTCATTTGAACGTTTATCTCTCCGATATATAAAACAGGTTAAATGAGACGAATAAACATCCAGAACACTGGCCCTTAAACATTTAGTCATTTATAACAAGTTTACAAAATGTTTAAATACACAAACACAAATTATACACATAATGAATACAAATAAAGTGCCAGCTTCAGTCATTTCATTGTACTTTTAATACATTAACTTGAATGTAAATTGTTATACATTTGATGTATGAAAAGTACTTTTATACTGAAGTTCAGATGACATAAAGAGTCCAATATAAGTCTAAGAATGAAATAACAATCAACGTAGGTAGAAGAGAATCATCAATTAATAAGTTCAACAAACTTTTATCTTCAGAAAATAAATCTTTACTTCTCTAATAATAAAGGTTAAAGTGGTGAAACTTACTCCCAACCATTCATTTTATATAGTGATAATTATAATATAATTTGTATAATAATATAAATGTAATCAATATCATCGTGAAAGAGCAAAAAAAAATTAATTAAAAGAAAACACAAAATAAAAATGCTACAACAGTAATTACAATAATTTTCAACATTAGAAAAAAATAAATGTTTTGAGCAAAGAGTTGGGCGATTACATCAGAAGGGTCAGCGCTAATGTGTGTGTTTCTGTCCAGGGTCCCCAGAGCAGACTGCGGTGGAGCAGGGCTGCCCTCACAAAGAAAATTAACAACATCTGGACCTGGAAACTTCTACCCAGTTCACCTAGTGGGGGCTTTAATTGGGTAAAAGTGAGTATGTGATTAGACCGTGCAGGGGGAAACACCCCAGTGCGTATATATGAGGACACATATTTCATACCATGCTACAGCATAAGGGTCTTGTTCAGCATGGTGTTTTAGCACCTCACTGGACTCCTAAACACATGCAAATAACACGCGTCATATGGAAAATGACCTCAACTTGCAGTAATGCAAGTCAAGAGGTGGCAGAGTCACATACATAGACACACACACACCTCTTTCAAGGGGTAAGAGGTTTGGGTAAGCTGTAAACACAAGTGACAGTGTGTACATGGGTTCTCCGACAGACATGGACACACTCACACATGAACAATCACACACACACACATACACTTGGCACAAAGCTTCATCAGTTCTCGCATTTAGCGTTAACGTAAATAAAGATTTAATTTCACGGAGTGAAAAACTACCTTTCACAATCACACACCAGGAAATATTACGTCCATTGCCACAAGAGGGGACTGATACACAACAGTCATCATTTTTATACAACTTGTTAAATGCTAAAATGATTGTGGCACTAAATCACTTAAAAAAAAAAAAAAAAAAGCACTTTTACAACCACTTCACATTATCCTCCCTATGGGATTACTTAAAAGTTGTTACCATACCACATGTTACAATGATTGTGTATCTGTTCTTTTATAATTCTTGGATCCACAATGCCAGTTGCCACTGGCCTAAATCAGCTGAAGCGCTAATCAGAGTCAGCTGACATGATATTGGCCAGGTGTCATGTCCCACATTAATTTCTACTGAACCACGTCCTGACTGTTGATGCCGACTCCTGGACCTCTCCGTTAACAGGGGGCGCCTCGCGTGTGGTTTCATTGGTTGTTTGGGGCTCAACAGCCACGCCATTGGTCATCAAAGCGTCAACAGCCATGTTATCGACTGTTATGGTGTCACTAGCTCCTGCATTTCCTGCCTGAGACTCGTTTCCACTGAGTTCAGAAGGTGGGGAAGTTGTTGTTGTTGTCTGACTACCAGCACCATTGGTTATTGCAGCCGTTGCTCTGTTGGTTTGTGCGCTGGCTGTTCTGCTGAGTGCTGATATCTGACCCGAATTTGGTGTGCAGACATGATCAAGTCCTTGCTCATCAGAGAAGAAAGTGTCGTTGTTGTTGTTGTTATTATTTGGCTGTGTGGTCACAGAGGAATCTGGTTTTTTTTCAGTTGCGGCGAGTGGATTTGAAGTCCATGAGTCCTGGTCGAAGTCTGGAATTTGGTGGACGACTATGGGGATCGGGCCGACCTGATTTAACCCAACGGGCTCATTGGCTACATGGCTGCCTGTGGACGGCTGATTAACTTCGGTGCTAATTGCTGACTGCCAGTTATTGGAGCAGAGGACTGCTGGAATGCTGCAAGGAGAACAAAATCATAACCAAGACATAAATAATATTTGCTTAAAATTGATTTTCAACAGTGACAGTGTTTTTTGTGAGACCGGACGTCCCGAGATTGTTGGCAAACTGGGTCATAGCTTTGGATAAAATATGGATTGGATCCCATACTGTGCTACATACAGTACATTTTGTAATGGTATTTGGCCTCTGAATTTAGCGTTTTAAAGTATTGTTTTAGTTTGTTAAATGGTTTGTTTGGTGTCGCTGCAGTAGAAGGTGCATGGTGTTGCTTGTGTGGCTGATTAGTGATTTGGTACCAGCTGTGTGCTGATTTGTTCCTAGAGCTGCCTAGGTCTTTGGGACTTCCATGCATTATTTAATTTCAATACAGCTTTAGTGTGTACGCGTTGTAAACCTGGCACACACACCTGTTCAGCTGCTTCTGAAGCTCTTGAGCATGTTGGTTACACTGGTCGAAGTAACAGGCCTGACCTTCCACAAACTCAGTCAGGCTCCGCATGTGGTTGGTCTGAAGAAACAAAACAACAACCAAGACACATAAAACACAAGACAGAGGAACAACATCAACAGCCTGCATTTAAAAAAAGTAAAAACTCTTAAATAAAAACAAATCCTTTATCGATAAATTGTAATTGTGAGGAGATATTGAATGACGAACTACAGCAAAATATTTATTAAATCAATGAAACTAAATAGTTTTGCCGGGTGTTGGATATTTCATTGCGAGTGTCTGCGTTTACAGTTCATCTCACAACTGTTGCAAAGAAAGAAAACCCACCGATAAAAAGAATCCACACACCTAGTGTACCGAGCTTTAGAGATATGTCTGAATCGTATACTCCGTGTGTTTGTGTTCACGTACGTGAGTGTTGCTGATTCCTTCCACAACTCGTCTTGTAATTTCTGACTGTCGATCGAACAGACTCTGACAGATCCTCTGCTCCATCTCTGCCTACACACACACACACACACACACACACACACACACACACACACACACAC